AAGGACAGGGTGCAAAAGCAGTAATGGTGGAGTATTTGTTGAGTGCTGAATTTGGAAATTACCTGGCTTTCCTATTACCTGGTTATCTGTTTTGGGGTCAGATCCTCAGCTGCAATAAACTAATGTCACCCTTTTGAACAAATGTACCCTGTCTGAAGAGGGGGTCATGTGTGGCTAATGAGCAGCTGGAGTGGCAGAATTTCTGAATTTCTGCAATTATGGAAAATGACTGCCCATTGGAAAGTGGGTGACTCAGCAGTGCGGTGGTACTCACGTGTCACAAAGAGAAAAAAACATTCTAAGGAAAATGTTCAATGGAAGATCACTTATTTGCTAAAATTCTATTATTCAAATTCTTATTGATATTCTGCTAACCTCTAACCCCTAAAATAATTCTGGAGTGCAAGAACTGTGTGATGCAATTACATACAGATCACCAGATTTGTTATAATTCCTTGACTTATAAATGTGAAAGAGGTATGAAAGTGGATAACTATCTGATTAGTTTGCACTCACAAAAGGCAGTATTAAGTTCCCATAATATCTTCCACTTAGTGCTCTTCCTTGAGTCATAGCCGAAGTTACTAATACGGTATTTTAAATCTTAAAAAGAAAAGTGATACTTTGTGCATTGCTGCATAAAGGAGGGATTGAACTGGAATGGATGACCCAGAAGGTCCTTTCATTCTTGAATTCCTAAAAAATGAAAAGTTGCCTTGAATGGAAAAGTGAATGTATTTTTGCTATGAAGATACACGAAAAACAGAATTTGAGGTTTTTAAATCATCCTTTTCTGAATGAAAAGTGTAATGAATGCAACCCAAACCTGTAAAATCTGCATTTCTTCATAACATTTTTTTGTGAAGGAAAAGTAGTCTTGAACATTATTCATGATAGCAACTTACTAGAAAGTTAAGTATATTTAAAATCTGGTGTTAGACTACAAGTTAAGAAGTTGGAGGGAAAACTGGCTTGACCATCAGACATAGAAGACGTATGCCAAGTAAGAGGTGGTTTTACAATGAAATCCATCTTGTTTTAAATAAACCAAGGGTGGTCTTTCACTCTGTTTTCCCTTTGCATATTTGAAAAGTGCTGAAAAAGAGGAAAAGGAAGGTTATAACACTTTCAGAAATAATTTAAAAGAATAAAAGGAGAGTAAGACTAACAATTACAGTGAAATGTTCCAGGGTGTTTTATTCACTTAGCACAAAGGGTAATAAGAGCAGATGCTGTTCCAGTCCCTACAATTCTTCAGCTCGTATTGATGTACAATGAAAAGAACAAAAGATAATTAATGGTCTACGAAGAGGACACTCTTAGTAGTAAGCTGATGTCTCAGCATCCATCTTCACATTGATCAATATTAGAATCTATAACTTCACTGGTTGTTTTATGAGGTCTTTAAAAAAAAGGACACAGAATTATCAAGATCATAAAAAAATGTATTTCATTCTTTTGTGGCTATAGCCTCATTATTCTGCCTGGGAAAGGACACTGCGATTCCTCTATGTCATAGCCCATTCTGAAGTGGAAAGTATTTGTGTTATTTTTCAACTTGTGATCTGTGTAGTTTGTCTCAAGTGGAAGGGTCCTTCTCTAAGCCAGCTGGCCCATAAAACACGTGTCTTCCTGCCCGCCTGGCTGGACGCGTGCTCCAGGCCTTCCCTGGGCACACGCAGCCCGCACAGCGTGGTGCCACGCCGAGCTGCCAGACTGCGACTAACCAACCAAGTGCACGCTCTGCCTGGGCCTGAGCTGGCAGGATTTAAACCAGCCTAAAGCAGCTTGGATGTACTCAGGCACAGCAGTGCTCTTGCTAATGAGCTCTGCCTCTCTCATAGGTGTCGTACAGAGCACAGTCCCCCCCAGCTGCAGCGACGCGGTTCAAGCACCAGCTTTGGATGTAGGGGAGGTGGTGTGTGATGATTCACATCACAGCACATGGATACAGTCACGGGTTCCTCTGCTGCAGCAGGCCATTGTAAGCACAGATCCTGGCAGGCACTTTGTAACTTTTAAACACCTAAGGCATGTGAATAGTTCTATAAGTAGACCTAAACCACAAGCTTAGACTAATTTTTTGATAGCTAAAGTTCGGTGACATGAATCCCATGGCTGGCATAGCAGGATTTGGAGGGGAGAAAGCACTGAAAGCCTCAGGTTGAAAAATGGGAGAGGGATGTAAAGGTAGAATTGCTAAGAAGGGCTGGACTAGAAATTTTGCACTGATTGAAAGAAGCGCTGTCCTGAAGTCGACACATACTCAGGAGTGCAGGAGATGGAGACCGTGGGCTCTGTTTTGAGCTAGTGCTGCTCTGTGAGCGTGCTCAGCTTAACAGTCTTTCAGCTTCCCTTGACTTAATCAGATGATCAGCTCTCCAGAGCATGGAGAGAGCAGAAAGAGCAGAGAGCATGGAGAGAGCATCCACAGCAGCCCTGGCTGCTCTTTCCCAGAAGCCGGCACGGTGAGATGCTGATCTTCTGCAGGGATGCAGGCCCTGCAGTAATGTGGCTTATACTATATTTATAAAGCCAGATGATCCTCCATCACATCAGAAAAGACCATCCCTGTCCTTGAGCTGGCAATGCCAGCTCTGAAAACCTGCACACCTGCCCTGCACTAGGACATATGACAGATTTGGTCTGCAGTCTTGTGTGCATGTAGTTGTTGCCAGCTAACAGCGCTCGCATCCATATCTGATGGATTCTGGGCTCCAGACCTCACAGGTGTGAGATGACAAGGTGTGAGAAAGTAATTTCAGATATTTTTAGAGGTTTTGAAAACATAAGCTCCCCCGCCATCTCCTGTATTCAAGGCCACAGAGGTTATATACATTACAAGAAAAGGCACGTGTAGACTATGGGAGATGTGCTGTTCTACTGGATATTGCGTGGAATGACTTCAGTGCAATGAATACAGATAAAATGTTTTCTGTCCTTTTTGAATTGAGAAAGATAAGGCGGCTTCTTCTGTTGTTCTCTGCAGCTGGGAAGAAAAGGGATGCAGCTGGCTTCAGGAACTCCAAGGGCAATGTCCGTCTCCTGGCCCAGTACTGTTCAACATGGTTTGGGTGCAACATGGGGGAAAGGGTACGTCTTTGGTTTCAAGGAGTCCAGCCCATGATTTGGGTGGAGTTGGCATCGCTTAGCAGGTGCATCAGAGAGACAAGTCAGGGTTTAAGTAGAGGTTCACTTAGACCAGTTTCTGAAAATAAGCACTTTTCCAGTGCCCAATAAAACCCTCTGTAACTGTGGAAAAGAAAGCATTCTCATCTAAACCCAAAGAAAAAGCTAGGACAAATCTGAACTTTACGTACCATTTAGCACAGGTATTGTTTTACAGCTTTAGATCACTGAAATCTGTATTGAGCTCTCTGCCTGTTCATATTATTACTGGAAATAAATTGGCTTACCCCTAAGCACTAATGGCATGTATATTGTATATTTGCATGGGGTGTCAAATTATATAAGAGGAAAACTTTTCTTTCTGTACTGATCTGTTGCTTTTGAGTCAGCAGTTTTATTTTCTTATGTGAATATTTCTCCAGACTCAGTCTTTTCAGCAAAACAACCCATGTTAAGTTGCTGACTGATCTCTACTAGCAGAATTTCTTATGTTCTCTATTTTTTATGCACGGTTATTGTCACAATTCACTAATATCACTAATAAGTAAAATAGACAGATAGGTAAATATCACTAGTCACATTTGGAAGAAGTGGGGCTATGGTCTAAAGATGGTGCCAAGATCCAAGCAAGGCTCACTAAGTCGATTAGTGCCTATGTGTACGAGTTCTAACTAATGCAATGAAAGAGGAATTGCATTGCCCAGCAAACCTCATAGAAATCTTTAGGTGGGAAGAGACAGACAAGCTTATGCGGAGCAGAACTGTTGGGTTCCAGTGCAACTGGCAAGGAGGCTACATCAGGAAGCTACCGTGTTCTGGTTAGACTGAAGGAAGCTGGAGATAGAGTGAACCAAGTGATGAGTGCCCAGCCAGGGAAAATGGTGCCATGGCTGTTTCTCTACCTCAGCCCAAATAAATTCTGCTGTTCCTCAAGATTTTGCTATATGTCACCACCACTGGTATTAGCCTATGCTGCGCAGGTGCCTAAAGTCTCCAGGGAAGGTGGTTTTCTGCGTTCTGCTGTCTGACTGCAGTGATGAGGTCTCTCGCTAGAGCCAAAACAGATCCCTGTGGTTAAGACACAATTCAATTTACTTCTCGGTCTCTGTGCTTAAATGAACAATATAGAATATTAAATCGGTTTCAACTGCAAAGGGACGGTCTTGTTAAGACCAGACCCGTTGCCTCTTGCCACCTCGATCTCAGGCTCAACATACTACTTCCTGAAGTGTTCCATTGCCTTTCCTTGTAAATGCAAGGTACTTCTGAGTCTTTCGCTCTAGTAAATTCTGTGTTTCTCAGATACTTTGTACAAAGTGTATTAAGAAATCAATATACATAATAAAATAGAGCCTAAAAGGCCTCCAGACTGCCATCTAACACTGTGACACCTGAATTGCTTCAGTGCACATGAACAACAGCACGCAGCAGCAAACTCATTTCAGGCAGAAAGGACAGAACTTGCCGCCTTTGCTACTGGCCCCTCAGGAAAACCCTTTCGTGTCTCTAAGAGTTGGGCCCCAGCATGCTTGAACCTGACTTTAAAGCTAACCCTTCAAGTTGTCCCACTGGTTTGATCTTGGGGGCAGTTATTACCTCAAGCAGGGCGAGCAGCTTTCCCTCTTGACCTTTGGGATTTTACCCTTCCATTGGCCAAGCAGAGGTGGCCCAGGTAATGTAAATGTAAATCAAATGTGGGCAATCCTTAATAACATATCAACATGTGAGAGCAAATTTGCTGATTTGCTTCATTATTGACAAAGGAACTTGCAGACAAATTGAATCATCTCTTCATTATAGGAGGGGAGAAGGGATCCCAGAGTGAAAAAGATAGAAAAATGAATCTGCATGCATTTTGTTTTCTTTTCCAGGTACCTCCATCATCTACCCTTCTTGATGTGAAACACAAATTTCACAAAGCATGTAAGTACTACAGCTAGGAGGCTGGAGCATGGCTAGAGGCCTTTCAGCTTGGAGGAACTGTCAAATTTATTTTTCATGAAATCTTGCATGAAAGCCAAGACTGGCTTGAGAGTTCCAGTGCTAAATAAGAGCAGTGTTTGGACTAAGGTTCTACTGTAGCTATCGCAGATGTGAGAGGCTGGAAGGAGAGGACTGCATAATTTATCACTGCCAGCCCAATGGGGGCAATACTTTTCTATCCTCTTTTTTAACATTACATGGTGCCAATTCAAGACGACAACTGCATTTGCCCTCACGGTTTTATGTTAGATAAGCTTCAATAACATTAGACTGCTTCAAGCTGGCCATAAACAAACCATGTAGACCAAATAACTACTGTAGCGGGGAACTCAAACGCAGAGTGATTAAATGACTTACCTGGGATCGTGCAGGCAATCTGACAGACTTCTCAACTGACTCAGCCATGTCCAGTTCCTTAATGGTCAGGGCAACCTCCCTTTCTTCTAGTACCGCTTTTTTTGTTTTTCATACCCATAAGGAGGGAAGAGGGTAATTTTTGCACAAACAGACTGCAGATATGGACCTTGTACATGAGAAGAGATGAGAGCAATCATACTTGAAAATCCCTCTTTTCTTCCTGCCAGAGAACAGAGCAGTTTCACTGCATGCTTCCTTTCTGCCTCCTCCTAGCCACATGTCTACAGCCTTTACTAGAGGGAGGTGGTTGGAAAGGTGGAAGAACGAGCAATGAAAGTAGCCGAGCTCCAAAGTTTGATGGCATTTACTGTTATCCACTGAATTGCTGGTCAGGATTTTGGGGAGTGGGGCCAAATGTACCTGAAACCTACAGGATGTATATGTGTGTATAGTATGCCTTGAGTTCTGAAATGCTAAAATACTGCTGTATCTGTGTTTGTAGAGATCCTAACCGTGCCACCCTTGCTCCTAGACTGAGAAATGTTTCTCTTACTCCTGCCTGTGGGAAGTAAAGTGCTACTTGTGATGAGGACTGGTAACCTTGATTGATTGTCACTCACATTTGAGATGTGCAGGCCTATGCAAGGCCTGTTAACTGAACTGGACTTCTTAGAACTGCAAAGGTATTTAGTTGAGTAGAAAAAGATGCAACAGGGGTTGAGGGGTGGAAGCGAAGGCCAGAGAAACTCAAATTAGGAATGAGGTTTTTGGTTCCAGGAGGCAAGATGGTTTACTGTTGGAGTAAGCCTCTTAGATGATGGGCTTTCATTATTTTTACAAAAAAGGGTGTAGTCAACTAAAGGCTAGATGCCTTTTGCAAAAAAAAAAAAAAAAAGCTTTAGTCAGACACTAATACTGAGTTCAGGGTAGGGTAAGTAGAAGAAATATTATGCTTTTCCTCTGTCCTTAGACTTTTATAAAACACTAAAGCTGAAGGCTTCTGTGGTTGCACAAAGGTTCAGTTGATGAAGCAAAAGGCTGTTGACCTGACTGTTCCAAAACTACTTGTTTTCACTCCCTGTAAGGGCTTGTAAAATGCAAAATGGTAAAAGTTCAAAACCCCCACAGCTGAATATGAAAAGACTGAGTGCATAAGTTTTAATATTTCAATAAGAGTATGTCCTGCCATCAGTTTGTGAAATGCAGTGCATTTCTGCCTAGACTCTCTTAAATCAATTGAAACTGGATTTATATTGATGCAGCTTAAATCAGTTGAAGATCACTGGCACAGAGATTTATGCCAATTTAACTGTAATGAGGTTTTTAATGGATCTGGGCTAAAATGGTACAAGTCTCTGTATAAGCCATTTTAATGGCACCTGTTTTTATATTTAGAGGTACCTTGCTCCTCAAATACTCCCAGTGATGTAAGTGGAGCTGAGCATAAAGGAAGACAGTAAGCAATACAACAAAGCACGATACAAACTGTGAACCGAAACTCTTGACAGTACAGCGTTTTACAGCACATGGAAGGGCTGGCATGTGCCTTCAATGCTTTTTCAGTTTTCAATTTTTTAGTTCAATTCCCACCCTTCCCGGGAGTACACCCTGTCAGTGTCCTGTGTCCTTCCTTCCCATTCCAGCTCATTGCTTTGATCTCTCTTTTCCAGTTCAGCCTGGATGTTGTTGTCTCATGTTGTCTCTCCTCCTTCTTTCCCAGTTGCAAAGAACAAACCTTCCCTTTTTTCTCATCATGTACTGTGGAGGATGACAGGTTACAGAATACAGTTCTTTTAGGCAAGAGCTGAGAAGGGACTGAAGCTGATCTGTGGATGCCTTTGGTTAGCATGCTATTTTGTACTAGCTCATGCATTCATTTCTGTCATTTTGAGTGTGCCAGACTCGCATGTTCCCCTATAATCTCTTGCTAAAACACACTCCTACGCACACCCTCTTACAGTCTCCCTGTCTTCATACATTCTCCTTTGATCACCCATGCAATTAAGCTTTCTCCTCAGCTGGTATCTTGTCAGCCCTTCAGTGAGAGGAACCCCTGTGCAGCAATTTCACAAGCATCATCTCTGTCACTGATCAGTTCTCGCTGTCTGATTCAAGAAAGGAGGAAAAAGACTGCATTACGAATTGCAGCACAGGAGGCTGTTAATCATTAAAATAGAAGAAATGGGATGCAAGTGACACATAACATGTTACTGCTCAGTAGTTTCTAAGTCAGTCAAACATTAGTTTGGATCTGCGCTTATATGAAAGGCAGAATACGGACTTAGAAGTCCAAGAACAAATACTGAAATACTCCTCAGCCCTCAAGTCCGCAAAACTGTCTCTACTGAAACAGCCCCAGCAAAGCCTAACCCTGTGCTTTCTGTGGCACTGAGTTCAGGGGGACAATCCCAGTTTTATCACTGGAGATTCGGGGTTCTATGAGCTCTTAGTGGAGAATAAGCAATTAAGGCAAACTGCCATTTCCATGGGAATTCAAAGGCTTTCTCCAGACTGAAGACCGCTGTTTTGAATCAGCCCCTGGTGCTGGCAGCACCAAGCAGGGTCAGCACAGAACAGCAGTTTCCCTGTTGCAGCCTTCCAGCCATCAGCTCTACAGGGGCTTTCTATAACAGATGCTAGATCCAGGCTGTCACGCTTAATAGCAAACACCACACCTGCCCACCATGAATATGTCTAATCCTTTTTAAACCTACTTACAGTTTTGACCTCAGCAAAATCCTCTGGGAAGGAGTTCCGTGATATAAGTATGTTGAGGACAAAAATACATCTTCTATAGTGGCATCATACAAATGTCTACGCTTCGACTGCTTGACGTTTTCTGCTTGAAATTGAGTGGCAGCCGAGTGCCTGGGTGTACTGGCCATCAGACTGTGCTATCTAAGCTGTGGTCAAAGAAGCCTCAATCAAATTGGTGCTGTGCACTAGATGACAGTACTACTGTTTTCTTCATTCCTTTGGCTAGGTGGCAGAGGTGAAACCAAGCCAAAAAACTAAGTGTATAAGAAGGAAGCCTTTTGTCCCATTTTCTCAGTTGCTTATAATGAGTTAGGTACCTGGCGTTTTCTTTATCTATAAAGATTTTGTTTTCAATGGGGAAAGAAATACCTTGTAAGCTAAACTTTGCAAGCTCTTGTCCTTGGCCATAACTCTTCACCTTTAATTTATTTTTATCTTTGCAAAATGTATTGGACTGGTGGGGGAGGAAATCTTACAGATAGAAAATGAAAAACTGTAATAATAATGCTAATTCAAGTATCACATAACTAAAATAAAATACCTCTAGAACAGGTAATATAGTGGAGTCAGTGATCATTAAATATTTTCAAGGTTACTGCACAAAAGTTGCTGAAAAAGCGCTTGAAAGAAGAGGAAGAACAGAAAGGAGGGGAGGAAATAAGATCTCAGCAATGCTGTAACAAACTCATGGATGCAACCTCCAGCCCAAGGAGGTAGCACAACTAGAGCTACTCTTTGAAGTCAGAATAATGAGCTTAGGGCAGCCAGAAATTGTCCTCTAGGTGGAAGGAGCAGGCAGGGAAGGAAGGGCAGATGGGAGGAAGCCGGGTGATGGGTGAAAAGAAAAAGGGAAGTTGAAGAGAGAGTTGAAAACGTCATGTGCAGAATATCCCAGTCTGCAGAGGGGAATGAGGTGCTCAAGGAATAAGGAACATTACAAGCTGCCAGCTGTCCCAATAAAATATTAACTCCTAATCCTTCAGCTCCAGAATTGCAGGCCCCCCCATCTAAGCTAACGGATGTTACATAGGGTATTTAAAATAAGCAATGTCAATTAAAGCAAATCATTAAGAAAGAAATTGTCAGTAGATGGCACTCAAGAATAAATAGCATAATTTCTGGACACAATGAAACTTTAGAAGTCTACTGTACCATCTTCCACCTGCTTCTTACAGGTATTTCTATAGCAATCCTAAGAGCTATGTTCCCTGAAAAACCACTGAGATATTTTGTGTTGCTTTCCTCTAGCAAGAGGACAAGGAGAAATACAGTGCAATTCCTTCTTCATGGTGGGGACCAATCTCTCTTTTAGCCTCCTCCTTACAGGCTGTAGGACAGTGTGTTAGGATACATTCATCTGCTAGGTTTTACCTACTGCTTTCATCCTGCATGTTCCCCAGAAGCCATAGGAGAACAGGCAGCCTCTTAGATGTCATCACCCTCCAGATCACCTGGTCAGAGCGTATCCCGGCTAACTCCCTGCACGAAAGCAAGATCAGAGGCTCCTCTGCAGGCGCTTCCAACATGCTATTTCACTGAGTTTATTAAACACTCCCACTGACTTCCAAGTGCCTTGAATAAGATCTTTATTGCCTAATGCAAGGAGATCCCTTACCATCTCAGAGGACAAACATAAGCAGAAGTATCACATCATGCAATTCTTTCCCAGCTGCACGGGAGGACTCTCTCTCTATATATATTCTTCTCAAAATGACCTGTGACTGCCTCCAGCTCACTTCTCCCCGCAGTTGCCTGACAGCAGTGCTCAGCTCAGCCAGTGCTGAGCAGCTGGAAGGAGAGCATTTTAAAACCAAGAGGTTATTGTT